AAAAAAAAAAAAAAAAAAAAAAAGAAAGCCAATTCTTAGCAAAAGAACAAAATTCATCTTTGGTGTTTTAGCCATCCCCTTGTTCAACCTGCCTCCTACTGGACAAACACCCTTAGGCTTTATTTAAATTTGAACCTATCATCACTCTTTTTTTTTCGTGGAGTGCTGCGGGGTCACACAGCTCACAGCAACCTCCAGCTCTGGGGCTTAGGAGATTCTCTTGCCTCAGCCTCCCGAGTAGCTGGGACTACAGGCACCTACCACAACATCCGGCTTTTTGTTGCCATTTGGCCGGGGCCAGGTTTGAACCCACCACCCTCAGCATATGGGGCCGGCGCCCTACCCACTGAGTCACAGGTACTGCCCCTTATGATCACTCTTAATTGAGTGAAAAAATAAATTATTTCTACTGATTAAACTTAGCCAATGTCTGCACCTGCTTAGACTTCTAAGTGTTGCAAAAAAGGTTTTATCTCTCAATATAAGAAATTTTGGGTAGGAATGAGAAAAGAAAAAGGTAAGAACAACCCTAAGCACAGCTACATGTTTACCTTTTCCAAGGGATTCAACATCTTTCACTAGAAAAAGTAGCGTTGACAGTTTTAACTCTCAGAGGCCTATTTCTGAATGCCAGAAAAAAGTCACTGGCTTCTCTGAGCAGACAGAACCTTATGTCCATTCACTGCCTATTAACTCCTCCACTCCCTACCCCAAACTCAAGTATCTAACATACAGAGCTCTAAACTCTTTTTACACTCTTCCCTCTCTCCTCCTCCATGCCACTACTCTGGATTGAAATACTGCCACATGAGCTAGAAGGTGACCAAGCTGTTGCTCTGAAACTAGTTTACTATCCTAAGGTTGACCCTAAGTCCTATGACAGCTAGGGAAACGGGTCACACCTGAATATGCTACTCAAGACCCATGTAAGTGATAGTATGAAAGTGTGACAGAGAAAATAACGTGGGGTGGGCACAGAGAGGGGAAATGAATGACGACACCTTGAATCTAAACAGGTGGGCAAAGACCAGAGTCCTAAACTTTGGTCTTATGACATATTTGAATATAATGAAACATAATTTGCATATGACAGTAAGGAAAAAAAGTCATCAAAGCTGGCTGTATGTAGACAATACAACCACTATATTAGAAATGCAGTCTACTACAATAAAGCAATACCAATTATAGTCCTATGTGTTCTGCTCATCATTCATGCCTACTTACAATACAGCACAATTATGCATAATTATGAAATATATCACAGCTACCTACGTAAGTTCTATCTTATTATAGTACTAGTCTTTGTCCCAGTACACTACTACTTCACAGTCTGCTACTCTGGAATCAGGATCACCTACTTATATATACTCTTAAAATTAAAAATAAGAGACTGTTGGCTTAGGCAGGGAATACTGCCAGAGATAGCATCGCAAAACTAAATATAGGAAATATGAACAACACAGTTTTGTCACAACTGAATTCATTCCTATATTAAAAACAAATATTTTATTTATTTTTTTGAAAACAGTCTCACTTTGTCCCCACTGGTAGAGTGCAGTGGTGTCACAGCTCACAACAACCTTAGACTCTTGGGCTCAAGCGATTCTTTTGCCTCAGCCTCCTGAGTAGCTGGGAGTATAGGGGCCC